TTTAGAACAGTTTCGTGCTTCAAGACAAACGACAAATGGCCACTCTTTCATACGGCCTCGGGTGCCACTGTGTGTCACCGTGCCAAATCACATTTTGTCAGTAAGACAACTATGTCTTTGCTTTAATTAGTACACAACTAAATTTGAGTTCCGATGAATCCTTGCGTTTACGCATGTTGAGTTTACTTCCATTTCGAATGAAATTGTGTCAAGAAGTGACTCCCAGTAGAGCCGTATTCACTCTATTTCGTGTAAAGGAGATGAAGGACTATTAGTTGAATTTTTCCATAATCAGATGAGTAGAATTTACGTTTTCAGTAAATTTGACGCAGCTTTCGCAAACTGGTCGTGTTGTCAGGGCGACTTACCTTGTCCGCAGCCCTCTGCCATAGTAGTCAACATAGTCCCCTGCATCAGACCGTGGACTTGGTATATTTTGAGAAAATGTGCGTCCAGCTAAGTCGTCCTGGCAACACGACCAAGTTGTAAAAACGAGGTCAGACTACTTTTATAGATTGAAAGAAGACTGCGACGAAAATAGAGGCCGTAACATTTTGGTCTTGGCAAAATATATTTTCATTCCGTTTCGAGGCAGGTGCGAAGTTGTAGTCCACTCCAGCCCAGATGAGAGTACACTTTCGGAAGAAAATCTGTGCAAAATTTACTGCAAACCTGATGCCTACTTATCGGATTGTAAAAAAATTCACCCTTCAGTCTTTCACCTCTTTGAGAGGAAATCATCCCCCAAGGTCAGCTTTAGACGAAATACCTTTTGGAAACAGCACCAACATTTCGGATGGCTTCCCTCAGCCCGCAAGCTTGCTCTTCATGGCGCTTTCGTTTTCACGTAGAACCAAGCCACTGGCAACTGGGTGAACTAAGCACTGTACCTCGTTACGCCTCAATCACTCAATTGCAATGTATCCCTTTCCAGTTCAGCATGACTTGCCCTATTCTCACCCTTAAACAGGGCGTTGCAAAAGCTTATGGTCAAGCGTATCATCAATTGTCAGTCTGGCGCCGTCTTATACGAGCCATCGGGTCGGCATTCACTTGGCTCTCACGTCGTCTCGGCTCTGGCCACAGCGCCGTCTTCTATTTGGCCACAGCGTCGGCATCAACCAATTCTTCGCCCGTCTTCTTCGGTCAGCCGGTTGACTCTCAGCCCAGCTTCACTCAGACCGATCGGCTGGTCGACCAGAGGCCAGTCGATCAAGACAGTCGAGAGGCCACGGGTGAATCGGCCTCGAGAAGCGCCAACTTTGACCTGCTTCAAATGGTCACATTGACGGAGCGCAAGATTGTCGTCCAGCACAGACAACCCAAAAGGCTGGAACGTGAAGGAAGTCTGTTTCGGTGAGTCGTTGTTTTACCGTCTCTTTTGGGCGAATTTGGCACATTCCGTTTAAAGGTGATATATTTCTATTTCTTTTCGAGTGATAAGAGGACTGGCAATTAAAGTTTCCCACATTGATATGCGTAGACATA